TCGCCAAGGCAATCCACAACTCATATCTTAAGAGTAATTTAAACATAGAAAGTGTGGTGGAATGCTATCAACATTCTAATTGTCCAGTATATGGGAAAACTAGGTATACTTCTAACATATTAGGGTTTACTATTGATTTGTGTACTTTTATATATTTCTATTAACAAAACATCCTGTTTGAACGATATTTTGGAAATTAGTGGTTCAAAATAAACAAATTGATTATTTATAAGACCTTCAAGAGCTGATCTATTAGTTTACCAACTAAATATTATGTGAACAGTTTAAGCAATTTGCAAGCCATGGCTCATCATTAGCTCATCAAAATTCACTATGTGACTGAAACACGAGCACATATGCCACATGTTATTATACAAACGGAGGGACAAAATTTGTAAACTAAATGACATGGAAGTTGATGATTAGATTATTACTTAAGCCTTGATAAACATACTCATTTCCTATTGATGACACATTATTTAATTTGCAAATTATGTCTATCAATGTAATCTCTCTCACATTACTCTTTATAAATAAAGGTCTTAGAATTTACTCTCATTTGTCCTATGACTTTAGCTAGACCTGGCAATTTCTTACATGATCCATTAACACGACACATAAACGACACGAAAATAACAGGTTTCAGATCAACACAATAATTAATCAGGTCACATGATAAGAACCCGTTAATAACGGGTCCTTAACATGTTTACACGAGAGTGACACGCAAGTAACCTGTTTCGACATGATAAGAAAAATGTTATTTTGGTGATTTTAATTTTATAAACTACTAAAAAACTTACTATAAAATACAATGGATGTGGATGCCAATTTCCGTCATCTTCTCCTTTGACGAAAATGGACCTGCAAAATAATAACACCTATGATTAAATCCAAAAGCCTCACTCGCCCACGAAGAAGGGGAGCTTTGGCCGAAGAATCTCCGATGCCAAAGTTAGAATTCTAAAAGGAACGTATTTAGTAGTTTGTGGGTAGCAAATTGCTTAACTTTTTAGTAGGATAATAGGGGTATTTAAAGTACGGTGGCCGGCCATATATGGTGTAACTGGGTGAACAATTGCAAGATATTATGTGAACTAATATCTTGCAATTAACATGGCAATTATTCCTAAATTAAATAGGAAGTTTTGGGAGTTACCTTTTGAATAAGTATTTGATGAGGGGTGATGAGAGGGATTTGAATAAATACCAAATTGATTACCTTTGACTCTTCCTTGATTAAGCAATTATTGTCCATTGCATGCGTGTGGGAATCTCAATACGACTAGAGGGTAGTTTTGTCTTTCTTACCCAAAAGTTCACGTGTCACCTCCATAATTTTTTAGATTATTTTTTGCTCCACAAATGCCCTCACACCTGCTGGGCTGCTAGCAAGAAAGGGCAATAGGTGTAGTGATCTCCAACTTTGGTACAGATTTCCACTTTGACTTGGAACTAGATTATTCTAGGAAAGAGAAGTAAATCGCCACCAAAACCTATTTAAGCCTACAGTAAGTAGGGGATTAAATCAACTTTGGAGGGTAATTATTTATCCCTACAAGAAAGAGAGAAAGCTAGAGGATATTAGTTCCCCCTCCCTTAACATTCTTGTTCACTTATATGTGCAAAGAACCGTCTTTCATTGACTTCTTTGTCTTCTCCGCGCCGCACCGAGGTAAGAAAAAATTAATTTTCCTAGTCTTCTTCTTGGATGGTGCTGCCGCGGAGCAGCTGTCAAGGTGGTGCGACACGTCGGTTGGCAGGGGCCAAAAGTCAGCTCAGCATAAGGTCAGGAGGTGGTGTGGCATGTCGGCTGTTTGATCTTTAGGCTGCTCTGTGCTTGCTAAACAGCTTTCTAATTCACTGATTGTCCTAATTTGTCTATATATATTCAGAATTTAGCTCAACTTCCAAGACTTCTCCAGATATGAAGAAGGTGCACATAGCTTTAGGTATCCCTGCTGAGTACTGTGAATAACGTTGGCTACTTAGTATTCTTCATCGGGAAAAAGGTAGGTTGCCCCTGAGATATGGGATAAAATGAATCAAGGTGGAGGCATTGGCTTGCCCGATCATTGTTGTGGAGCTTGTTAGGAATGAAGGTGGAAAGAAAAGATCTTCGCCTGCTCAAGAGATACCAGTTGAGAAAAAATCGAAGAGTTTCTCCGTTGCTCATGAAGTTCTGCCTGATGTTGGTGACTGACTTGACTTCTTACAAGGGGAAGAAAAATGAGGCTACTAGATCTGAGCATGTGACGCTTGCCATGCCAAAGATGGCTAATACAATTGTTAATAGGATTGCTTAGCGTAGAGGTTCCGTCATGCCCCTAGTTGGATACACAGTCGACGTGCAAATGCCAGAACTATCCATCGGGTGAGGCAGGCATGGCTAGGGCGTGCCCGGTCACCTTCAGGGCATCGTTGAGTCACTCTGTTGCGTTACCTAGGCTAGGAGTGAATTTTGCTATGAAGTCTGCCAAGGCTTGGTCCTTTATCACCGTATGGGGTCGATAAACTAAATCGTATTGGCCAAGTTCCAATGCCCATTTCATTACTCATTGAGAAACGTTTGGACCATGTAGGATTGATCATAAAGGATACTAAGTCATGACAATGACTGTATGAGCTTGAAAATATGGTCTGAGTTTCCGAGCCGCAATAACTAGCGCCAAAATCAATTCCTCAATCTTTGGATATCTGGTTTTTGCATCGAGAAGAGCTTTAGAAATGTAGAATACCAGTAGTTGAGCCCGCAGCTCTTTTCGTATAAGGGCATAACTCACTGCTACTTCTGAAACAGCCAAGTAGATGTATAAGTCATATGCATCTTCTGGCTTGGATAGTAAGGGAGGTGATGTGAGATACTTCTTCAGGTCTTGGAAAGCTCTTTCGCACTCATCATCTCATTTGTCTCGTTATGCCCTCTTGATTGCTTTGAAAATAGGCTTGCATCGATTGGTGGACCATGAAAGGAAGTGATTGAGTGTGGCTGCTCCTCCAGTCAGGCTTTAGATCTCCTTCAAGGTAGTTGAAGACTTCATTTCTAAGATTGCTCGGATCTGTTTGGAATGTGCTGCGATTCCTCGTTGGGTTACTAGGTACCCTAAGAATCTGCCTGAAGATACTTCGAATGTGCATTTGGTGGATTGAGCTTCATCTTGTACTTTATGAGGATATTGAAAGTTTTCGCCAAGTTTCCATAGGGTCTTATCGCCGCTTGCCCTTCACCATGATGTCATTGACGTAGACCTCCATGGTTACTCTAATCTGCTTTTTGAACATCATGTTGTTAGTAAGTGGCTCCCGCGTTCTTGAGGCCGAAAGACATGACTTTGTAGCAGTAAGTGCCTCACTCAATCTCGAATGTAGTTTTCTCTTTGTCAGGCTTATGCATGGCTATTTAGTTGTAGCTAGAGTATACATCCTAGAAACTGAGCAGTTGGTTGCCAGAAGTTGAATCTATTAGTAGATTGATTCGGGGAATTGGATAAGGATCATTTGGGCATACTTTGTTAAGGTTAGTGTAGTCTACATAAACCCTCCATTTGCTATTCTCTTTCTTCATTACTAGCAGCGAGCCATGCTGAGTGTGCTACCTTTTTTATGAACCCAACCTCTAGTAGCTCGTCGATTTTCCACTTCAATGATCGCCACTTGTTCCGGTGTGAAATATCTCCTCTTTTGGATCACCGGTTTGGTAACGTGGTCGATGTGTAGCTTATGGCAAGCTATCTTTGGGTCGATTATGGGCATGTCGGAAGGTGACCATGTAAAGATGTCACAATTTTCCTAAGAAAAAATGTAAGTTTCTTTTTTTTTTCCTTTGGGCTCAGACATGAGCCGATTCTAGTAGTCTTCTCTAGCTGCTGGGGATCAAGAATGATGTGTTCTACGTCCTCTTCAGGTTTCAATCTCGTCTCATCTGCTAGCGCATTGATTTGGACATCATATTCTTAATCCATCTGCTGTAATTGCTTTTTGGTAGCTTCATCCTCCCTTTGGACCTTAGTAGCCTCTACGGGGGTAAAGGTCTTTTTCTTTGTCTCCTTCAATACTTGCACAGTGCATCATCAAGATGCGGCATGGTCAGACTTGATTTCTCCGACTCTTCCTCCTGGGATGCAGAATCGAATTTTTTGATACTTGATGGAAGTTACAGCATCCAGTTTTATAAGCTAAGGTTACCCTAGAATCTCATTGTAGGGAGACGAGTCGCTTACTATCGTGAACATCTACTTTGAGACAACTGGCGGTGTTCTCACATCAAGTGTAATGTTGCCGATGACAATCGAGGTGTGTTCGTTGAATCCGGTGAGTACCTCCACTTGGTGTATGATTGTACTTTACATGCCCATCTTCTGAATTACTGAGAGCTGAAGTAGGTTGACTACACTTCCGTTATCAACCATCATTATGTTGATTACATCATGGGCTAGTTGGATAAATACCACTAGTGCGTCGTCGTGAGGGATGCTGACGTCTTTGGCATCCTGGTCGGTGAAGCCAATGATGGGTTCAAGTTGGGTGTTGACTGCTTGAACCTAATAAATTAATAGAGCTTGATGAATTTTCCTCTTCTTGGAATTATTAGTGGCCCCCAAGTGCTCGAATTCAGCGAAGACGCCATTGGTTCAAAATGTCTTGGTTAGCAGCTCTTCATGGGGTCTGCATTCCTTCTAAGCTGCGCAACTGGCTTGTCCAAGTATTAGTCGACCTTGTCTTCTTTCACCCACTTCTCTAGGTAGTTTTTCCAAGTGTAGTAGTTGTCGGTTGCGTGACCGGGACCTTAATGGAATGCGTCGTACTTGGTGTGGTCGAACTTGGAGGTATCTCCCTTTGATTGCTTCGGCAGCTTGAACCGTGGTTCGCTCTTGATGTCACAGAGGATTTGGTGGATTGAGATCGAGAACTTAGAGTAGTTCTTAGGCATCGGGCCTCTTTTAGTAGGGAATCGGTCCCTATGCTTAGCCTCCTGCCTACTTTTGTTGTTGTACTCAGGGTTATTCGAGTGCCTTGTCTGCTCGCTGAGCCTCATCCCAAAGTGCATGCTTCTCTACCAGAGAAAATGAATCTGCTAGAATTAGATCTTCTTTCATGATCAATTCTTCGAATTGCAGGTGGTCTACTAAGAGTCCTTTTTGGAAGGCTGCACTAGCTATTGAGTCGTTGCATTCGACTATCTTCACTTTTTCTGCTTTGAACCTCTTCACATAGTCACGGAGCGACTCCTTTGGGTTATTCTTAATGTTGAATAAGTGATCGAACTTCTTCCTTATCGAGCAATTCGATGATTATTCCTTGGTGAAAACCAAAGAAAGCTCATCGAGACTCCGGATGGATTAAGGAAGTAGGTTGTGGAACCAATCTTACACCTCGTCTTGTAAAGTTGTGGTGAATATCTTGCACATGTGGGCATTGTTGTTCCAATAAAGGATCATCACGTTGCGGTAGTACTTTAGGTGCCTCTCTGGGTCTCCATCTCCTTTAAAGGATATGAAATGCGGCATGCTGAACTTCCGTAGAGGCTCTGCCTTCTCGATCTCGTCTATGAAGAGTGACTTGCTTATGTTGGTCATGTCTCGTTGAAGCGCCTCATCCGTAACTTCGTTAAGCTGGAAATCGCGCAATCGTTCGGTTAGGAGCCTCTCTACTTCTTCCTAAATTTGCCTTTGTTGGGGTAGCAAAGCTTTTGGCTACTCCCTGTTGTGACCTACTGGTCTAAGCTGCTCTTCCATGTGCTCGGCTTGTTTATGTCACAGCTATGGTGCATATGGTATGTTCCTAGCAAGGATGCTGCTGGAGAGGTTCGTCGTTTACCTTTATCCTTGTTTAGGGCACACTGCATCTCGGTGCACTGCAAAATCTAATTCACCAAGGTCGTCTGCTGCGCGAAGGCACTTGTCAACTCTATGACTTGTTGAGACAAGTGTTGTTCGCCATTTAGGATGGAAGAGCTTGGACCGTACGCATCTCCTTGAGTGATGGAAGTGTAATGGACTCCGGATGCAAAATTTTGAGCTTCAATGAGCCAAGTCTGCATACAAAAAAAAGAAAAAAAAAAAAAAAAAAAAAAACACCAAAAACGGGTCCGAAACATAGAAAAAGGGGTTCAGAACGCCAAAAAATGGTTTGAAATAGCTAAAAATAGGCTTGTATGGGCGCTAGAAGTCACGAATCTGGGTCATGAGCTCGCGGGTGCGGATCTGGGTCAACTTGACCCGCGTTGACTGCGGCTGGGCTAGGCGTGCGCGCTGGTGCTACTGGATGAAGGGCTGGGCCTATATGGATTAAAGGTTATAGCACGCTAGGCTTCTGTGCATTGGGTTTGCGGGGGAGTGGGCTTGGGTAGCTGCTGCAATGGGGCTGCCTCCACATGGCTTCTGCAGCCAATGCTGGGCTCTGATAGGAAATGGCCTGGAAGGCCTAGTTGGAGCACATTGGGTTTCTTATTCATGCGCACTTGGGTTTCTGCATTAGGCCCTAGCCTCGGCTTTTTCTGGAGCTCTTCGGCTTGCTGGAATGGCCTGGCGTATGGACTGTAGACAGTGGGTTGCGGGTTACACCAGCATGGGCTGGGTTTTGATTGGCTACAAAAATTGCACCGATGGCAGTGGGTGGTGGCAGCCGTCGTTGCTCCGCGATCCGTCGAGTGGGTGAAAACCCCAATTTGTAGAAGTGTCTTTTGTTGTTGTTTCATAATTTTTTTCATTATCGTATTTGGGGAAAAGTGGCCGGCCATATATGGTGTAATTGGGTGAATAATTGCAAGATATTATGTGAAATAATATCTTGCAATTAACATAGCAATTATTCCTAAATAAAATAGGAAGTTTTGGGATGTTACCTTTTGAATAAATACCATATTGATCACCTTTGACTCTTTCTTGATTGAGCCGTTATTGTCCGTTGCATGCGCATGGGAAGCTCGGAGTGCCTTGAGAGTAATTTTGTCCTTCTAACCCAAAAGTCCACATGTCACCTCCATAATTTTTTGGATTACTTTTGGCTCCACAATAGATTAGTGGATATGTATATATATTTTATTTATTTATTTATTTTTGGATTTTTATCACAAATGGTCCTGAAATTAACCCTCACCATCCTGAAATTAAAAATCAATCAATGTAGTCCCTAAAAATAGGTGTTGCAAATCAATGTGGTCATTCCATTATAATTTTGTTAAGTGCTGATGTGACACATAAATGGGCCCTACAAGATTTACGTGTTTTTATCACAAATGGTCCCTTAAATTGATCCACATTATCAAGATGGTTCCTGAAATTGACCCACACCATCAATATGGTTCCTGAAATTAAAAATGAATCAGTGTAGTCCTTGAAAATAGATGTCACATATTAATATGCGATCCACCAAAAGCAACCAAAATATTCCTTGGTGAATAGGGCAAAATCTTGATCTTTCCACCACTATTCTGTAAAAAAATTTGTTATGTGCCGATGTGGGTTTAATAATTAATTAAAAAAGTTGTCTAAATACCTTTTTGCACAATGGAATTTTTTTTATTATAGTCGGGCCTACTCTGAAGAGAGATCCCTTCCATAAATTCTCAAAGGCACAAGGCTTAACCAAGGCCTAAGAGGGGGTGTGGAAATATTTTTCAACCAACAATAGACACACCTCGGTTATAACCACATTATATTTTTCAACCAACAATAGACACACCTCGGTTATAACCTCATTATCTCAAGGCATACCTCATTGTTCTTTGCATCACTAGACCACCAAGGAAGAGCCGAACAAACTCTCTAAGATTAAGGTTGTGAGGATGTTGATCGTCTAAATGTTAACGGTGATGTCCCAGAAGTCGTTGGTAATGGGCCAAGCTGTCACGAAATGTGATCTCGATCCAAGTTTAATTCGGTGAAGGGTGTCAAAGTGTGTAAAGATGCGTGTATTGGTATTTTTTTTTTTTAGAGAATATAGAGTGAATGAGGTAGAGAAATGTGGACTAGGATCGGAGGTGATTGCAAGACTGGTTTTTGGGTTGACAATTTTTTTATTAACTATTAAATTATTAAGCCTATTTGTAATGTTTTTAATTTAATTAGACTTGTGTGACCCATTTATGTGTCACATCAGCACATACTAGAATTTTTAATAGCATTGTGATGGAAGGACTAATTGATTTGAGACACTTACTTGCGGGACTACATTGATCAATTTTCAATTTCAAGGACCACTTTGATGTCGTAGGTCAATTTTAGGGACCATTTTGATGTCATGGATCAATTTCAATGATCATTTGTGAAGAAGGAAAAAAAAAAAAAAAAAAAAAAAAAAAAAAGGAAGAAGAAGACTTATGTGGCCCATTTATGTGCCACATCAGCACTTAACAAAATTTTTAAAAGAAATGTAACTGAAGGACCACATTGATTTGCAACACCTATTTTCAAGGACTACATTGATTGATTTTCAATTTCAGGGACCATTTGTGATAAAGATCCTTTATTGTTATAGTATACTATAGGCAAAGAGTAAGATTTAAAAATCATAAAACTGTTGTAAGCATAATTTAATGAACAAGTACGACATATAGATAGAGAAGAAAGAGATCTATAATTGTGAGGTGTATGTTATCTCACCCTATTCTGCCTTTATTTATAGTAGTATGGAAGGTAAATTCCTTACCCCAATAGGATTACAACTTTAATAAGATAATATCTAATCTAAGAGATATGGTAAAATTTCATAAGGATGTCCTAGATATGTTAGGATTTACACGATCACATTTCTAATCTAATAGGACTACAACATTCCCCCTTGAGTGTGTGAATACTGAAACAAATGGCACATTAGGTCTTTAGGGATGAAGTAAGTACAGTTGATGAAGTCGTCAGCACAATTAGTAAATGCGAGTCTCAAATCAAGGGAATAATGCATAAAAGATAAAACTCACAAAACATCGCTATGGTAAAACCTAAGGTGGGATAAAAACCCATAGACTAAGGAGAAAAGTGAGAAGTTGCATTAAGTCAAAACTATACGTCTTCTGGACGCAAGTAGAAGAGGTCACAAGGGTATGCTCAGCCCAGGATAAGTGCCTTGTCAAAACCTAGTTAGGTAGCAAAAACCTAGTGGGAAAAATGCTCCTAATCGTAGGGAAAAAGAGTACATTAAGATACTTCTAGATACTTCCCCTTAGTTTAACAAAACTTCCAAATGAGAACTACAAGCATTTCATATGAATAGTTAGGCATACCAATTCCTCGAACAAGATTATGGAAGGTTAACTTCGACAGTGATGTCATGTAAAGGCCGACAAGGTTGTTTGGGATCGGCTTGCATGACTTTAATCTCCTGATACTTTGCTGATGAGATATGGACGCAATATGTCTTGGCATTGACTTCGTTGACGTATCATGTCTTGGTCAGGTGGATACATTTGGCATAGTCTTCATGGATCGTCGTTGGGACTCAACAATGGATGAACATAGCAAGTACTTCGAATATGCTCAACAAGAGCTCTCAACCATGTCTCATATGTGGCGTAGTGAAGTGAGGTGAGTCTTGGAACGTTTCGAAGATTTTGCAACTAAGGTCATATCGTGGACCTTTAAGATATTGCGATATCTCTAATGGTATAGACATAGCAATTTGAGAACCTCTAAGATAAGTAACCAGCTACAACATAACAAACAAGGAAAACATCATTATGAGGATTAAGGGGACCAGATCTGCTCAGGATTCGTTAGGATTAGCCCAAATCCGTAGTACTTTCAAGGTAGCGGAAAAACGTCTTTAATACCAATTTAGTGGTTGCATGTAGGTGCGGTGCTGCATCTTTACTAATAGATCAACATCGATGGAGATGTCCTGTCTAACGCAATGAGCTAAGTACAATAAAGCGCAAAGTTGAACTTAGATATAGAACTTCAAATTCCATAACCTCTTCAAGGGTCTCATTTGCAGATAGTATTGGAAGATCATAGGTATACTCAAAAGGTAACACCTTCAGGGGTGTAGTTCGACTGGTAGACCAAAGTACTGTCAGAACAATGCTTTGAACTTCAATTCAAGGTATAAATGAGTTTTCCTAAGATTTTTCATCTCAAATTCCATCTTTAGATGTGAGACAATTTTCTCAAGCTCTTCTAAAGTCTTAGTGAGATGCATGTCATCAACATAAACTATAACTCTAGCAATTTAGAATAAGACTTCATAGTTTAACACGTAAGGGCATAATTCACATCCTTAAATGATCAAATAATCACTTTGATGGGTATACCACATCCGTTAGATTGCTTAAATTCGTAAGTGAACGCCTCAAATGAGTTGAGATGGTGTTCCGTGGTTTGGAACTATTTGAACCAGTCCATGTAGTTCTTCGAGAACTTACATGTAAATCTCTGTATCAATATCCTTATGGAGAAACACTAACCACATTCGTAATGTTGCAGTTAATCACAGGGCATTTGAGAGAAACATTACACTGTAAGGCGTGCAACATATCGTATGATTTCATTCATCTCATTATGCTTCCTTTCCTACTTGTAACACAACAGGGTTACTTTGGGCAGTGTAGGAACGATAGGTCCAAACACACTTTCGTAAGGAA